GGTTCCCTCGGTTCTAATGCTCATCCCTAGTTTTATGTGTTTATGGATTTGATTGTTGTTATGTGTTTGAATGTGTGTTGTGTATTATGGGTTTGAATCATGAACGCTAAAGTTTGAATATGAGTTAGTGTGTGTTTTGGGTTTGAATCATGAACACTCATTCTAGTGGATGATGATGGTGGTTGTGACGGCGGTGACGGTTGTGTGGAATGATGGTGATGACGGTGGACAATGACAGTGTTGATGTTGATGTTGGAGATGAAGCCATTTTTAATTTAATAAATTGTAAATTATTGTCAAAATTAAAATAAAATAATAAAGATAAAAAAAGGTCTTTCAATCATGTAATTTTGTTAAAAAAAAAACTATTTTTCATTTAATTCGTCTACGCCTCGTTCCCGAGTTTAACAAAAAAAAAAAGAGAAGAGAAAAGAAAGTCACGACAGGAAAAAAGAGAAAAAAAAGGAAAACAAAATTTTCTTTTGTGTTCCCGAGCTGGAGAGAAGTGGAAGGAAAATGAATCATTTTATTCTTTCTTTCAAAATCCTCCCAAATCTGAAGGAAAGTTAGAAGGAAAGTGATCCTCCCATTTCCCTCCACTTCTTTCCACTTCCCTCCACTTCTTTCCTCTCATTTCCCTCCACTTCTTTCCACTAACTCAACGAAACTCAGGAACACATTTCTTTTTATTTTCTTCTCATTTCCTTTCGTTTGTCTTTCTTAAGTTGAACTCGGTGTAAATTTTTGTTGGGAAGGGTGTCCATACATATGTTTTGAAATAAAGCCCTTCCATTGTAATTCTCTTCCTCAACATGCAACATTCATCCTCTGTGAGCAAAGGAACAGATCACATCGCTTCCCGCCTACAAGAACCCTAATTTTAATCAATTCTGTGTAAAACCCTACAAATATTTTGACATTCAATTTCTGGGTTTGATTTTTTCTCCAAAAAATCGTGAAAAAATGACCCAACTGAAGCCCATTCTCTCTCACGTCGATAACATCCCGTCGGCCGGAAAATTCAAACCGGACAAATCATCTCTTTACTACATCCACCATCGTCTCCGTTACCAAACTTCTCTCCCCAAACTTACAATTTGGTCGACCATTTTTCTCTCATTGATCGTTTTTTTCTTCTTCTTATCTCCTCCTGCCACCCCCGTCCCTCGCCGTGGCCTCCGTACAACCACTTCCTACGGAGGATCAGGATGGGAGAGCCGAATCAAGCTATCTGCTAAACCCCGTTCCGGCACTGGTCATACAGTCCTTGTTACAGGCGCCGCCGGTTTCATCGGCGCTCATGCTTCGGTGGCTCTTAAACGGCGTGGAGACGGTGTGGTTGGACTCGATAACTTCAATCATTACTACGACATCACCCTAAAAAAATCACGGAAATCGAAACTCCTGGACCGCGCCGGTGTGTTCGTCGTCGAAGGTGACATCAACGACGGAGTTTTGCTCCGGAAACTCTTCGGTTTAGTGCACTTCACTCACGTCCTCCACCTCGCTGCACAGGCCGGCGTCAGGTACGCAATGGTAAATCCCAATTCATACATCAGATCCAACATAGATGGTTTCGTTAACCTCCTAGAAGTTGTGAAATCTTCGATCGCACAACCGGCCATCGTCTGGGCATCTTCCAGTTCGGTTTATGGCCTCAATTCAAAAGTACCCTTCTCGGAAAAAGACCGAACCGATCAACCGGCGAGCCTTTACGCCGCCACAAAGAAAGCCGGTGAGGAAATCGCCCATGCTTACAATCATATCTACGGCCTATCAATTACTGGTTTGCGATTTTTCACTGTTTATGGACCTTGGGGTAGACCTGACATGGCATATTTCTTTTTCACCAAAGATATCTTGAATCGAAAGCAGATTTCTATCTTTGAAGGGCCTAATCATGGAACTATCGCTAGGGATTTCACCTACATTGATGATATTGTAAAGGGTTGTTTATCAGCAATAGATACAGCAAAAAAGAGCACTGGAAATGGAGGGAAGAAGAAGGGTGAAGCTCAATTTAGGATCATTAATTTGGGGAATACTTCCCCTGTTTCAGTTCATAAGTTAGTAAGCATTTTGGAGAAGTTGTTGAAGGTTAAAGCTAAGAAGAAGGTGGTGTTGATGCCTAGAAATGGGGATGTGCCAATAACGCATGCCAATATAAGTTTGGCACGTATGGAGCTTGGGTATAAACGCACCATGGATTTGGAGATGGGATTGAAGAAATTTGTTAAATGGTATCTTGATTATTATGATGCTAAGAAGAAGAGTTCTTGGTGAAGTGAAGAAAACCAGGTTTATATATAAACCTTTTTTCAGTAATAATCTTTATGATCGATGCTACTTTTTAAAACTACTAAATGGTTTGTAGGTTTGAGATTAAACATTAACATGACTGTGTTCTTTTACATCTTTCTAGTTTCCCTCGAAATAACTTAGCAGTGGAAGACTATGGATTGATGTATTGGTTTTAGATTGATGATTATACGATAATGAGAAGTTATTTAGATATACGAATAATAGTTGAATACTATATATACTTTAAATGTATAAAATAATGTGTCTTGTGATTGCTGTAATCATCATAGAAAGAGGAGCCATGCGAGTCTGGTTCTCTGTTTTTTATTTATGAAAGTTGTTGGGATTCCATTCATTCCATTGTGGTTTTGGATTTTCTTTAGGTAAATTGTTTGGTGAATCTCATTGATGTTGAACCGAATGATTTCTACCTTTTAACAGTTAAAAGATGGTAAGATTGTTTTACTGTTCAGTGGTTGGCTTTTGATTCATTCAGAGGTGATTTTTATGTCACTTCTTAGTGGTTGTGTAGAGATTATCAAACAACCTCTAAGATAAATAAAAATGACACATTTTTAGCTTAAATAATTTGATCTAAAACATAATTTGGACTTCCAAACAAATTAGTCTCGTGTAAAATATAAATTACAAAAATTTTGGGACTTTATTTTAACTTTCAAAACTTTAGAATCAACACAGTTATTTGTATTTTGCAAAACTGGAAAAACAGAAAGTTTGAAGTAAACTGAAATTTATAAAACTTAACATAAGTGTAAGTATTTTAAAATATTTAAATAATAATACGTTTATAGGACCAAGGTCGAGGCCTGAGCCGGCTACCATCATGGATTCATGTCTACCACCTTCGTCCAAGGCAGGTCGACTTTAGAAGTAATAGCCCAAAATCAACACAATTTGTCAATTTCCCCCTGATTTAAACTTTTGGTCCTTCTACTTTCATTCTTCTTTCAGTTTCATCTCTCACATACTAGAAATGCCAAATGCCTTCTGTTTTAATTGTCGGTGTATATCCCTGTTTTAATATGTTTGGAGACATTTTATCAATCTATAAATGTATAAATGTTAGGAACTGGGGTATTCATGATCATGAGTTTGTTATTGATCAAAATTACTTGGACAAGTGGAGGAGCGTGTATTCATTTTCTTGAAGTTTATTTTCTTTTTATGTTTGGTTTTTACAAATAATGTTTTAGGATAATCTTACAGGTGAGGTGACGTTTAAAATCTCATACACAAGAAAACAAAACAAAATACAAAGTTTAGATTGTTTAGAATTTGTAGAGTTTCAAAAGGTAACGTATTGTGATTATATGTACTTATAATGTACGGAAAATGGATAGTGTTAAAATAAATGGCAATTTTTCAAAATTTATTTTATGAGGTTCAAGCTGACAAGTTAATTGCTTGCATATGACAAGTCAAATTCATATTGAACTAACAAGCCAATTCCAAACTAAAAGCTAACAAATTGACATAACTTAGCCCTAAGCTGACAAATAAGCTTTGATTTGAGAAGCATTATCCCCATGCCGAGTCTGTCCAAACTAACCAACCGGGGTTAGCTTAAGCGCTCTCTCTAAACCGACTATTTGTAGTGATAAGTCCACCTATATCTTTCTAGGGATGTAAACTGGTATGGAATCGAAAGAACCAAAAACTGATTAAGGAGTGAACAATGAATCAATAACTAGACCGAATACCATTAATCGGTTCAAATCAGTTCCGGTTCGGTTCTACTAGAAAGCGTGCTATCTAAAATGGTGATCGGTACCGAAACCAGAACCGAGAATCAAACATGATGAATTGGGGGAACCGGACCGAATACCGCTAATCGGTTCCAACCGGTTCCGATTCGATTTTTCGGTTAAAAAGTCAATACCTATATCTTTCTACATAAGTTTGCTACTTAGAGGTGTCACCGACTCTGCCTCTTGACCCTTTATAGGGCTGCTACTTAGTCGATATGTGGCATTCATCATTTTTAGTATCTAGTTCGTCTTGTCGAATTGTGCATTTCGTACCACCTAATTTATGTTAAATCATAGCAACCTTTCACACTAGTATAAATTACAGACCGAACAAAACAAACACTTGACTCTAAAATTACCAACAAAAAATTAGTAAGAAATTTAACTTGTTACTTAAATCCTTGAAAACTTTAAATATTGTTAATAACTTATAAGGGTAATAACTTTATCTCGTGTACGTTGCATATTTTTTTACATATTTAATTATTTGTTTTTACTTTTTCCTTGTAGACATATGACCATAAAACATTGTATTTTCGTATATATATGACCATTAAACTTTTTTTATTCATATATAATCACCAAATTTAATACTCATATTATATAAAAAGATAAGTGACTAAATATATAAAAATAAATAAAAAATTAATAGTCAAATTAAAAATAAAAAAAAATTAATTAAATATATACACGGTTAAATAGTTTATAAGTCAATAACCATTTGAAATAAAACTATATAAATCGGTTGAGATAAATTGATAAGAACATATAAGTTTGATGTTTTTAAAAGTCATTAACCCTAAAATATAACCTCTAAATTGAAACTAAACCAAGGTATCTAAAAACAAAGGAAATACGTATATTCGTAAAAGAGGAATTGAGTTTGGATGAACAAAATTATATAATAGAATGGTCTGATGCAATTAGGTTTAACGCTCTGCTTATCTGTCAGCCTGCTCTATAGTCTGTACATTAATCTTCGGGTACCCGATCACGTGGTTCAGCTTTTCCGTGCTCAATCATGTACACAAAAAGATTCTGCCAAGAAAAACGATGACCAAAACCCCTACCCCAACCCACCTACGATCAACAATTAATAACATGAATCTCTCTGTTAATGGCCACCAAATTTAGTCACCCTCTTCACGATCATCATCAATTCCAGCAATGAAAGGCGGGTTTTCAGCGCCTGGTGATTACATCTACTTCAAGTCCCAAGTCCCTCTCCACAAGATCCCTGTAAGTTTTTCTGGTCATAGATTCCGTCGATCTTTCACTTGATTATACATCTACTGACTTACCCAATTCGATAAATCACTGGTTTAGTTGGTATCGATTGTTACTTTCATTATTTCAAAACCCTATTTACAGTTTCGATTCAGCATCAGTCGTTCGATGTTTAGTCCCAATGAACCTAAAATTATTAAAATTCACATTAAACCGGAGCTTCCGATTGTTATATTGTAAACATTAAACTTTATAGCAAGTTCTATAAACAGAAAAAAAATGTTGATATTAGGTTTTACATCCAAATTGATGTAAGAATAACATATATGGACATTAATTTTGACATAAATTTTACAGATTGGCACAAAGCAATGGAGATATTATGACTTTGGCCCTAAAGTAGTGCCTCCATTGATATGTCTTCCTGGAACTGCTGGAACAGCAGATGTTTACTACAAACAAATCATGGCACTCTCCATGAAGGTAAACAACAACTTTAACATTGTTAAAGCAAAAAACCAAGTTGAAGGATTCTTTTTCATAACAAAGTTTTCAGAAATCTTTTTTTGTTTCTTTTTCAGGGTTATCGAGTGATTTCCGTTGATATTCCTCGTGTTTGGAACAATCAAGAATGGGTTCAAGCATTTGAGAAGTTTTTGGATGTTATTGATGTCCACCATGTAAGATTATCTGATTCCATTTTTGATGTTATTGTTATTTACTTATCTAATGAATCTTTTTTATTTTTTAACAGATACATCTTTATGGAACATCACTTGGTGGATTTTTAGCACTACTTTTTGCTCAACATAGGCCAAGAAGAGTAAAGTCTTTGGTCCTTTCAAATGCATTTTTGGATACAAAATATTTCTCAGCTGCAATGCCTTGGGCTCCTGTGTACGTATCATAAAAAAAAGGCACTTTCTTTTTTTGGACTGAATGAACCGTGAGTAAATGACTATTTTACCCTTGTGTAACAGTGTTAGTTGGACCCCTTCTTTTCTGTTGAAACGGTATGTCCTAACAGGTATCCCGAATGGTCCACATGAACCATTTATTGCTGATTCTGTGGACTTTGTTGTTGCACAGGTGAGTTTTATAAACACACATACTGAATTATTTCCTAATGATTTTATAAAAGTTTAAAGTAATTATCTCGTAATAAATATGTTAAAAATATAAAACCTTCAGGTTGAGACCCTGACAAGGGAGGATTTGGCTTCCAGATTGACTTTAACAAGTGATGCTGCATCAGTGGGACCTCTTCTGCTTTCCAATTCTTTAATCACTATTATGGATGTATGCTTCCACAACTCATAATCATATTACAAATAGCAACCTACTTTCATTTATTTGTTTAATATAGCATCAAAATTGCCAAATTACCAAAAACCCATTTTATTTTTGGTTGTTTTGTAGTTTAACCACTAATCCTTATTTTCTCCAATCAGACTTTAAAAGTTTAAACTTTTAGGTGTTTATTATTAATGATTTAAATGGGATGTGTGTTTTTATTTTATTTTTAAAGACAAATGATAAAGGTGCAACTCCTCGGGAACTTAAAGATGAAGTAAGCGAAAGGTTTCCGGAAGCAAGAAGAGCTTTGATAAAAAGTGGCGGTGATTTTCCATTTCTTTCACGCCCAGATGAAGTTAATCTCCATCTTAATGTAAAAAAATTTTAAAAATATATATTCCACAACTTTATATATATATATATATATATATATATATATATATATTATATATATATACATCATAATTTTTATTCTTTTATAAGTTTTAATCAACATGGTGACAGTTACACCTGAGACGCGTTGGTGTAGAAGCCCGTGAAGACCTGGTTCCCGGAGTCCCAAAGGGCGACGACAGTGGCGGCAATGGTGATGGTGGTGGTGGCTCTGGTGGACCAAAAGATGATGGAGAAGAGGAGGGGCCGAGCCCTGATGGACCTTCTGGTGACGTTGCTCAGCCTGTAATTGGTCCGGAAAGTAATGATTCCGGTGATGTAGACATTCAGGTGGTTGGCGGCACCACCGCCGCCATGAGTGGCGGCTCTCTACCGCCGGTCATACTTGAAGCATACTTGAAGCAATTGATGGTTGGGTGTTTGGTTGTTTATTGTCGGATTCCTGTTAGTTTGTTAACGTTGTACATGAGTGATCAGGATTATTCTAAGATTCATTTGTTTGTGTAAATGGCGACTTTTTTGTTTGTAAAATATTGTTTGGTCCTAGTTTTTTATACAACATTTTTTTTTTTTAAATTCAAGTTGAGTGTATTTTGTTCCTAAAAATCAAAGTTCCAACTTTATGTTATAAATGTTTTGACTTATCTTGCAGAATGTTATAGGGTAGGTAGACTGGTGTTCATTCTTGATATCTAAACACATATACACACACACATTAACACATGTTTAGATTATGTTTGACATTTTCGTCATTTAGCAAAGCATGTTTAGATCGATTTTTTTTTCACTGGAATCCGATCTTAGTATAGGCCCCCAAATAAGCTTTCGGTGGATTGGTTCTGGCAGAATGTACGGTAAAGAATCATGATAAATGCATGCTATATGTTAAAACCAAATGAACTTATTAATAATATATTTTTGTGGTTTTAAACTTTGGTCACAAAATACTTTTGCCACGGAACTTTTTTATATTGACAGATATGGTTCCTAAACTTTTGTATGTTGGCACTTTTCACTCTATACTTTGTAGAATATCATTTTTCACCCCTCTACTTTGTAAAATATTTCACATCCTCAAATTTAAACAATGATATTTTCCACCCGTTTAACTTACGTATATTGGCAGATTTGCAGGTTTGGTATCTACACTTTCGTATGTTTGTTCCCCCACGCAATGCATGGATAAGATCATTATAGTTATTATTAATTATAAAGTATTATTTTTTATAGTAACCGGAAAAAGTTGTATGTGTGTTTCCAAGCATGACATTTTCAACAACAAAGTATTGCAAATGTTGTTGGCACTTGTAACATTTGCAACGAAAACATTTCTACTACATAAATATACTAACTAATCTCTTTATAAGAAGATATAATTATAATAGGGAAAAGTGAATATACCCTTAAGGGTATATAAGTTTAGGTACCCAAACTCATAATAATACGTCGTTTTGTTTGATATATTCATTATAATATTGTTAAACTTCAATCCTTAACTTGATTTATATTCAATATTTTTAAAATTTCACTATTATCTTCCTCTTACATCACATCTTTTTGTCGAACACTTACTAAGCTATATATATTATTGTTGAAAATGACAATTATGTAAGAGGAAGATAAATATGAAATTTATAAAAATCTTTGAAGTAATTCAAGTTAGAAGTTGAATTATAAGAACATTGGACGATTACAATGTCTATATATAATACAAAACGATGTAGTATGGTGAGTTTGGGTACCTAAGCTTATATACCCTTAAGGGTATATTCACTTTTCCCATTATAATATTCTATTTATTTATGAAAACATGTTAAAAATTATATAAATTTTGTCTCTGTATTAAAATGTAACAAAACAAATATACAAACTAATGCCAACTCTATAACTAGCATACTATTTAATTAAGTAGTTAATTACTATCAATTTTTTCTTATCAAATGAGTGGGTGGTTGAAAAGGGGGGGGGGGGGGGGGGCTCATCGCGTAACACTTGGGCGCGTGACAGGGGATGATTCAAGTTTGTGAGCTTAATTAGGGAAATCTGCATAAAAGTCCTTATATTTTGCCTCTATTGACAAAAAAGTCACCATTTATTTATTTATTATTATTATTATTATTTTGCAATTTAACCATTGAAACCGGTAAACACTTGCAAAAGAACCATTGTACCTAGTTAATGTCAATTTTATTGGTTAGATTGCAAAAAAAAAAAAAAAAAAAAAAAGACAGATGGTTTTTTCGTTAACAAAGTTAAAGTTTAAGGAATTCTCTGGAGATTTTCTTTTTTATATATATTAAATTTATTTGAAGAAAACTTATATTTATTTATTAAAAAATTCAAAATAAAGAGTTTATTAAAAAACACAATAATGATAATTTATATATCATTTTTGGAATTTTTGTGATTTTTTTAATAAATATTATTACTACAATCATACAGATATCATCTATATCCTATATAACTTAAGACAACTTTGTTGATTTGTCGCAAGAAGTGCATTTCTAAGTCAAATGCTACTTCATTGTTGAATTTTTATATATTGGATGTATAAGTTTGCCATAAAACTACAACTTACCGAAGGTTCTTTCACAATTTAACGACACCTTAAAAAATGTTTATTAGAGGTTGTTATTCCTAAAGGCTTATCAAAGGTTGTTAACCTTTTATCAGGTTTTGTACTCTCTTAGTCGGTCACCATTGCCATAAAAGCCCTCATATTTACACATCACCACAACCACCACACTCTGCCACCACCACAACCATTTGTCACCAACAACACCGTCTACTATCACTAGCCTCTGCCACCACCATCACACTCTGTTACCACCATCTGTCACCACAACCACCGCCACCACCAATAACAAAACCATCATCTTCACCATCTTAACACTACCCTTATTCATAAGATCATCATCGCTTAGATTTCTAAGCCCCAAAACGTCAATATTCTTATTCCGATGAAAATGCATAAGTGTACCATTTTAGCCACCAAGGTTGCCCTTATATTTACATAAAAACTCTCAGGTGACCGACTATTTGTTCACAACCTGATAAAATGCCCAAAATGAATTTTTTTACCTAAATGTGATGCATTAATGAACACAAATTTGAACTTAGAACAAAACCATACATTTCATGTAAATATGAGGGGTTTTATGGCAATAACCTTAATATAATAGTTACAATAGTTATAAAAACACATTATAAATACAATTAATAGGACTTTTGTTGATTTGTCGTAAGCAGTGTGTTTCTAGGTTGCATATATCATGGAGCTCTATTTAGAAATTGTATTTAGATGATATCTTTATAATTGTAACTAGAAAGGTTACCCCCGCTACGCGGGGGCCAGAAGCTTTCAATGTTGTTTCCGAATCGATAAATATGACAGACGTAGAAAGTGCAAGGATGACAAGCCCGGGCTTTGCCCCGGACCGTTTTGTTCATGTTTTTATGAAAAAATGTAAAAGTTTTGACTGCAAGGACCAGAAGTGTCAAAATGGCTAAAGAATTAAAGCGGTAGGAATTAGCAAGTTTTTAGAAAATGGATCAAAGTTGTCAAACCGTTAAAGTTTTGTGGCCAAACTTTAAATATTAAAAGGTTCCTAAATAGAAAAGAGATCAAAGTTGTCAAACCGTTAAAGTTTTGTGGCCAAACTTTAAATATTAAAAGGTTCCTAAAAATGTAAAAATATCGATTATAAGGACCAAAAGTGTCAAAATGGCTAAAAAATGAGGACCAAAGTTGTCAAACCGTTAAAGTTTTGTGGCCAAACTTTAAATATTAAAAGGTTCCTAAATAGAAAAGGGATCAAAGTTGTCAAACCGTTAAAGTTTTGTGGCCAAACTTTAAATATTAAAAGGTTCCTAAAAAATGTAAAAATATCGATTACAAGGACCAAAAGTGTCAAAATGGCTAAAAAATGAGGACCAAAGTTGTCAAACCGTTAAAGTTTTGTGGCCAAACTTTAAATATTAAAAGGTTCCTAAATAGAAAAGGGATCAAAGTTGTCAAACTGTTAAAGTTTTGTGGCCAAACTTTAAATATTAAAAGGTTCCTAAAAAATGTAAAAATATCGATTACAATGACCAAAAGTGTCAAAATGGCTAAAAAATGAGGACCAAAGTTGTCAAACCGTTAAAGTTGTCAAACCGTTAAAGTTTTGTGGCCAAACTTTAAATATTAAAAGGTTCCTAAATAGAAAAGGGATCAAAGTTGTCAAACCGTTAAAGTTTTGTGGCCAAACTTTAAATATTAAAAGGTTCCTAAAAATGTAAAAATATCGATTACAAGGACCAAAAGTGTCAAAATGGCTAAAAAATGAGGACCAAAGTTGCCAAAGTACAGGGACCAATTCTGCCAAAAAAACAACATAAAGTCCAGGGACTAAATAGACAAAAATTGTGGAAGTTCACTATTCATAAGAAACAATTTCCATAATATATATATTTAAAAGGTTCCTAAAAAATGTAAAAATATCGATTACAAGGACCAAAAGTGTTAAAATGGCTAAAAAATAGGACCAAAGTTGCCAAAGTACAAGGACCAATTCTGCCAAAAAAACAACATAAAGTCCAAGGACTAAAATAGACAAAAATTATGGAAGTTCACTATTCATAAGAAACAATTTCCATAATATATATATAATAATGATGATATTTATTATATATTAAAAAGAATCACAAAAAAAATCCCAAATATAATATATAAATAATCATTATTGTGTTTTTTAATGAAAAACATATATTAGTTTTTTAGTAAACGTGACTCAGATGATATCTTTATTTTATGTTTTTAATAAATAAATATATGTTTTCTTCAAATAACTTTAGTATATATAAAAAAGAAATTTCCAGAAAAGTATTAAAACTTTAGCCTATTAACAAAAAAGTCATCCATGATTTTTTTTCCAATTTAATTCTTAAAACTGACATTAACCGAGTACAAGGGTTTTTTTGTAAATGTTTATCGGTTTCGATGGTTAAACTGCAAAAAATAATAATAATAATAATAAAATTATGGGTGACTTTTTTTGTCAATAGAACCAACATATAATAAGAATTTATGTATATTTCCCTTTCAATTAAGGGTTGGTCATCAGAAAGCAGTTCCGAAAATTGTTGCTTAATATATCGCCGAATATGAATTCTCTCCTCCAAACCTCGCAATATCGGAAGTTGTAGTAAGAGGTAGGAAGTGATTTCAAATAATTATTAAAAAAAAATATAATTTGAACAACATTTAACCCATTTGACATACTTTTAGCTAACTTTTTAGTTTTATCTTTTGGACTTTTAGAAATAAATTAAAAGATATTCATCTCATTGACTAGTTTTTTTAGAAAAGTTCAAAGAAAATAATCAATTTTTTTTGTCAATTAGAAAATGTTTTTCTAACAATATTTTCACTTTCAAATTTTGTTTTTTTTATTTGTTTTTTTATTTGATTTTTTCTTTTTGCATTTTTTCTTTCTCGTCTCTTTCCATCTTTTTGAAAAATCTTGATATTTTATCGAAAAAGATTGAGTTTTTTTCATCTCACGTCTCTATTATATTATTTCAAAGTATATATGACCATAATAAATAATTTGAAACTGATGAACAAGTTTAAAATTTTCGAACAATCTATTGTTTTTCAAAAATACTGAAAAAAGAAAAAATGAGTTTGAGATTTCTAACTACTTTTTCTGAAGAAAAAAATTTTTACTTGTTTTTGTCCAAAAAAAAGGGAAATAGACTTATTAAGGTAATTAACTGTTCGGTTTGTTCACATTTGAGTAACTATTTTTTTTGTACACATCTAGGTAACGAACTTTTTGAAAGTGTTCACATATTACCATTATGACCGGCTGTAACAGGTTACATCCGATCATAACCAGTCATATGTAAACAATTTCAAAAAGTTTGTTACCTAGATGTGTACAGAAAAAAGATAGTTACACAGATGTGAACAAACCGAAAAGATAAGAGAATGGTCCCTGTGGTTTGGGTAATTTGTGAGTTTGGGCCCTAACTTATTTTTTTTAACTCGGATGATACCTATTGTTTATTGTTGTTGTGCGTTTGGTCCCTGTCTTACCTCAAAAGACTATTGTGCCAACTTTAAGTTATTTTTTAATTAATTTTCTTATTTATGTATTTATTTTTTATATATTTAAAAAAATTAATAGACCCCACATATTTGTATCTCCTCACCCTAAACCTGAAACCACCTTTGAAAATTTTAAGTTGGGTCCCACCAGTCACCATCCCATCTCTCATCCTCCTCAACTTCTATTTCATTTCCATCTTTAGTGACATCGACGTCTTCACCATTCCTTCTTTTTCGGTCCTTCAACTCCGGCGAACCAACACCACAACCCTTCTATTCGGTTGTGGTGGTGGAAAATTCAATGAAGAGACAGTGGGTTGTGGATGAGGAGATACAGATATGTGGGGCCTATTAATTTTTTTATATATAAAAATTAAATACATAAATAAGAAAATTAATTAAAAAATAAATTAAAAAGGGCACAATAGTCTTTTGAGGTAAGACAGAGACCAAACGCACAACAAAAATAAACAGTAGGGATCATCCAAATTAAAAAAAAATAAGTTAGGGACCAAACGTACAAATTACCAAAACCACAGAGACCATTCGTGTAATTTACTCTTACCTCTGGGTAACTATCTTTTTTTATACAAATTTAGGTAACAAACTTTTTGGAACTGTTCACATATGATCATTATGACCGGTTATGATCGGATGTAATCTGCTACAGGCGGTCATAATTGTCATATGTGAACACTTTAAAAAATTTTGTTACCTAGATGTGTACAAAAAAAAAGATAGTTATCCAGATGTGAACAAACCGAAAAGTTAATTACCTCTATTTTCCAAAAAAAACAATTTTGAAAGTTGCACTTTTCGAATTCATGGTTAATTTTTAATGTGACGAAGCTCTTCCGTCTCATCGGTACAAATCAGGCAAAGCATGGATGACGCATCACGCATCCAGCCATCCACCCTCTTCACTTTGACACTAGGTTGTGGCTAGCAATTCTCCGGTAAAAACTTGACTTTAAAAAGATACAAAGAAGACATGAGTTTCTTAAAATTAAATCCCAAGAAAGTTAACGTCATTCTTCATACAAAACTGACACAATTGAGCTCCTTTTCTTCTTATTTGACATTATATTCATTTAAAACCTTTATTTTCACCACTTTTGTTTATCAAACAATTAAATCATTTCATAGCCCATAACTCTACCCAATTCAATACAAGTAATGTTTCATTAATCATTGAGAAAGTGGAATTGGACTGTTTTCACCACACCCATCGTTCTCTCTTGATTCTCATTACAGTGTTGTCCAATTTAGTGTCATCAACAATGGTGGATATCCAATCCGAAAACCCGAGATCTCCCTAACCTAAATATGGAATACATGATGCTTTTTTCAAAATAAGACGTAATTTTGGTTTTAATACAAATCCGGCCACTAGAAATGTTGCATGCTTTTATCATATGTATAAATGGTTTATGTTTTATTGCATGTAACTATGTTTTATGTTCTTTTGTATTCTGTATGTATAACGTTTTTTTTGCTTGTATAATTTTTTATGTTTAATGTATACATGTTTTATGGTTTATTTCATGTATACTGGTTGAGCTCTTTCTTGCTTCCATATCTGCTTGCATTATTGCTTGTAGACCTACTTTAAGCTTTATTGTATGCATACATGCATAACGCTTTATTGCTTGTATACAGAATTGGAATACCAGCTTTAGGCTTTATTACATATACAAGCGTAACAATTCCCCTCTTTCATATCCACTGCAGTGTACATCTATAGAAACATATTCACGATGCATGAAGAGTTGTATTTTCAGTTGAAGCGTCCTGCATACCCACGATGAGAAAAACGAATTTCAGTTTTTGTTTTATACCTTTATCATTCAATGTATTATTTTGTCTTTCTCCCTTAACTTTTAATATCAGAACTTTGATGGGAATGCCAAATTTTGTCAACATACAAGTTGCTGAAATATAGAAATTATTAGATTAATTACAATTAATATTCTTTTTCTTGTCTTATAATGTGCTAATTTGTGAATAAAACACCTTCACAACGAAACTAACATTCACATGTTCATCTTCTTCTTGGTAATCATCACAAGAAAAATAAATAATGGAAACCTTGACAACATATCTACTTCCCCTTTTAATTCTTCCAATTTCCATCTTTCTATTTCTTCAAATCCATCAAAAAACCACAAAAAAACACGAAACAAATCTACCCGGGTCAAGTGGATGGCCATTCATCGGTGAAAACATGGATTTTGCAATGTTGGGTGCTCAAACATACGTTTCACAAAGAATGAAAAAGTACTCACAAGACGTTTTCCAAACATCTCTATTAGGAGAAAAAATGGTGGTGTTTTGCGGGGCCCACGGCCATAAATTCCTCTTCACAAACGAGACCAAGCTCCTCACTTCATGGTGGCCGGAATCCATGAAAAAGGCGTTACTCTTCCCGGAGTTTGTTAATTATCCGGTGAAGGAGGTGACATCACTCCAACGTAACTTTATCCGTGATATCTTAAAGCCCGAAGCTTTAAAACGGTACATATCTGAAATGGACTGTATGGCACGCAGTCACCTGGAAAATGATTGGGTGCCATACAGGGAAGTTAGTATCTTTCCTTTGTCTAAAAAGTATACATTCGCGTTAGCGTGTAAGCTTTTCATGAGCATAGAGGATGAAAAGCACGTTCAAAAGTTGGCGGACCATTTTACCCTTATCACAAATGGGATGTTTTCGATGCCTATAAATTTCCCGGGGACTGCGTATAACGGTGCGATTAAAGGCGGGAAGTTGGTACGCGATGAGCTTATGAATATTATTGCGGAAAGAAAGAAGAAAATAACGAAAAATGAAGATATAAATTTGAGGGGAGATTTGTTATCTCAAATGTTAGTTATGAAGGATGAAAATGGCGAGTTTATGACCGATATGGAGATTTCAAATAGTATTATTGGTTTGTTAGTTGCGAGCTATGAGACCACGAGTAGTATGGTCACTTTCGTCTTGAAGTATCTTGCAGAAATTCCCGAAGTCTATGAGAAAGTTTTAAAAGGTAATCCTCAACTTCAAAAAAGCAGATTGAGAATCAATAGCTTCAGTATGAGAGTTTCAATTCCAATATGGATTAGGCTGATGTGATGCTTTATAACTCTTTTGTGAAATTTGCAAAAGCCACTTTCATTGATTTGTTTATTATAGCGTCCTACTTGCACTTTTTTCATATTATAACATTATACGTTGAAATGCAGAACAAATGTCGATTGTGGAATCGAAAGCTCCGGGTGAGTTGTTAAGTTGGGAAGATATAGAAAAGATGAAGTATTCATGGAATATGGCGCGAGAAGCACTTAGGCTTATACCACCTGCTCAAGGCTCTTTTAGAGAGGTTGTAACTGATTTTACCTATGCGGGTTACACTATTCCAAAGGGATGGAAGGTAATGTAACATTCACCTTCTTTTTACTAGTTAAATGCAAGAAATAGCAATGTACTTTCATTGACTTATTTATTATAGCATCCAACTTTCATTTTTTCTCCCTCTTTTTACACTTTATTCTCCATATTCTTATTATAAGATCAATAAATTTTTGGAACCTTTTTCAGACATTTTGGATGGTGCATACAACACACAAAAATCCAAAGTATTTCCCGGATCCGGAAAGATTTGACCCGTCAAGATTTGAAGGAAGTGGGCCCGCTCCGTATACGTTTGTGCCTTTTGGAGGGGGCCCACGGATGTGCCCGGGTAAAGAGTATGCCCGATTAGAAGTACTTGTGTTTATGCATAATGTTGTAACAAGATTTAGGTTAGAAAAACTCATGCCAAATGAAAAGATAATCTTCCATTCATCTCCTACCCCAAGTAATGGTCTACCAATTCGCCTAATTCCTCATAATGAAAGTGCTCGATTATCAAATACGCTTTCTATGTAATGTTTTCTTGTATTCTTTTCAATAATCTTTAGATACCTAAAATAGTAATTTATGGGAGTAGTAATCTTACATAATAATTTTTAGTCATAACTGTCTTTGCTTCTTCTAAATGCTTTCTTTTGTGAAAGGACCTTCTTACTCTGCAACCTTTTTGCCTCTGATATAGCAGCTCTATATGAAAAAACGAAAAAGAAAAAGGTAAAACTTGAAGCTCTTTGTAAAATATAGCACAAGAAAAGTAAAAGACTTACATTTTGTTAATTTTCTTTACTTGTTCTTGTGATGGGGGTGGTGGGACGTAAGATGCAGCATTAATGATTTCCTATTGTATTCATTTTTATTAAACAGAGAATTTATATTTAAAGAAAGATTTTAAAGCGTATTGATATTTAATACCTGAAGTTTCTCCAATGCATCCTGGATATTACCCCTGAAGAAGCAATTTGTTTTAACTTTTAAGTATATAATAATGTTTGGTTTATGAACACATTAAGAACATATTGAAAGTGTAGTGGACAGAATTTAACTTTTGTGTTCTGGTTTTTGTTGAAGAAATCACAAGCTCCCCATCTTTGTTGATTCGATTCTTTTCCTGATTAAAGAACATGTTTCCTTTTAAGACATCATAACCAAAGTACAAAAAAGAAAATAAAAGAGAGAGATTAAAAGTAGTAGCAAACTAACCATTTGCAAGATCTTATCTCTCACTCTCTCACTTAACCAGTATGCATCTTTAATGTTAAACCTCATATCAACCTTGGTGTTCACTGCAAATGAGAAGATTATATAAAACAACAATGTTGCCATTCAAAGGTAAATGCAATTGATTTGAAAGATTTGGAAGATAGTACACCTTTGTTAACATTTTGACCTCCAGGCCCACCACTCCTAGCAAAGCTTACACTGACATGATCTAGATCACAGAGTTGAAAGTAATGAAGTTAGGTATAGGGTTTAAATGGAGCGAGCATCAAAGAACTCAAAACATCATTGGGATTATTCAAATCTCAAAATTCAATGATAAGGCAATCCGAAATTGCAACATACTCATCCTGCGGATATATCGATACATTCAATTGAATTCACGACACAAACGGAGAAGACAGAAAACCATTTATTCAAGTGTTAACTGAAATTTTGAGGTTTTGATGTTATTGTTAAGTTATACCTAAAGTAATCGTTGGAATAGGTTCATTGTGGCCGGCAGCTCTCTCCTCAGCTTCGTGCAAGAGTTGATGAACCTGAGACATCCGCGCCGAAGCCTTCTTATGGCCACCACCGCCGGAATCTGTCGCTGCCGCACATCGGATTGGAGCGTAGCTGATTGGACGGGTAATAAAGCAGATGGGAGGACGGATGCGCGGACCATGTGTGCTACAGGTGCGAATGAAGGTTGAAAACGATGAAGACTGGAAGAAACTTGTGGCGATGGTCCTGATTGCCGCCATCGAGCGCTCTTGAGGAAGCTAAACGTTCATGTTCCTAAATTCACCAGCGATACCGCTCCACCCTCCACGGAATGCTTTTCCTTTTTTTTTTTTTTTTTTTTTGGTTCTATAAAAAGAAAATCACATTTTTATTTTTCTTATATATCGCAACCATAGTGATGATTTACTTATTTCCATTCTTTATTTAACAAGGTTACTCCGCAAGACAGGGATAAAAATATGATGAGCATTAAACGAAAGAGATCGTATAAAGGGAGTGCCCACATGTAGTTTGTAAGTGATGAAGTGAAAGGACAGTTAAAGGAGAATGGAGGGACAAAGCCATTGGCCCATATCAAAGTCTTATCTCTTTGTGGCTGTGCTTAGGCCTTAGGAGGAGAAACTGAATAAGTATAGTGACTCATGTATCTTGTTAACATTATCTCAAAGCCACTCAAGATATCGGATGAGTACAAATATGGTACTATGATACCGATATCTAAAAAATGTTATGTCCAAAGCTGTAGCAACCATAGACGTATCAAACTACTTGGTCATATACCATGGAGTATTGGAGTTATGTAAAAGACTCATCGAAGGTAGGTTAAAAAAAATGAAACAACACTTTCTGGAAATCACAATTTCATGTTTCATGCACCGGAGGTTGACCGTAGAGACAATCCGCCTCCTCATACACCAAATGGAGAAATATAGAGAAAGAAGCGAAGATCTCGACATGATGTCCATCGACATGGGGAAGGAATATAATATCATTCATAAGAAAACGATTGGGGACCGACTTGTGTTTGTTCAGTTGTTAGTCATGCATATTTGTTCCTAGTGGAAATCGTGTTTCATCAAAAATCAACTCTTAGTCATTACATATTTTCTTTGATTATGGATGAGATCTCTTCTAAGATCTAGGGAGGATACCTTGGTGTATGTTTTTTGCCCACAACATTGTATTGGTGACATAGTCTAAGACTAAGTTAAATATTAGGTTGGTACATGGAAGAGGTCGTTGGAAGGAAAAGGGTCACGACGAACATATTTTAGACAAAGTGTTTATTATTTAACTTCGGATTCAGTGAGCAAAATGGTGAAGTAGTAGAAGTAGATACGGATAGGCATCTTTGTTATATAGATCCAAATGTTGCGCAATCAAGAAGGAACACTAGATGAAGATGGTGGTCATGAAAATAAGGATGTTTCATCAACTAGCAGTCAGTGACGAACCTTATTGTAAGCCCAAGGTAGCCTTTGTTGCCCATTAACTTTTTTGGCACAGTGGAAATTCTTTGAAATTGTTTTTGGCATAGTGCAATTTTTCCGGCATGCTACCTGTTACATTTTGTTCTAGGTCCGCCGTTGCTGGTGGTAGAACTTTATTGCAAATGATATCAAACATGACAATCATTGGAAGTGACACTGATCACCTAAAAATTATAGTGGTTCGAACATGTCCATTTGAGAAAACACAACTAGGGTTAGGAAGGCGGAAACGGTCAATTTTGATATTGTGATTACAAAAGGACACTTAAGAAGGAAGTAAGGAGATATTGTGCGGTTAGACTTGAAAAAGTTGGTTTTTACTGGATGTGACCCTAAATAAGAGGTCGTGGAGGCTTAGAATCAGAGTGGTGCAGTAACATGCGAATACTCCATATTTTATGGTCTCAATGCCCTACCTATACATTTTGCTTATATTGGTGTTATGTATATAATATAAATGGGTTTCCGATCGCCCATTGCACTCTCTGTTTTTGCAATGGTAAGGGAAGACTCGCCCTTTGGGATATGCTTAGACACCGATCACATACATACCTTCTTCTGATCAACTCTAGACGCTAAAAACTTGAACATTGAATGCCTTACCCTATAGGCCACTAAGGTAGTCGGTTGCTAGTATATATGTCGAGTTTTATTGCTAATACACGTTTTCAATGTTTGTGTTACGTACAATATTTACTAGCTTATTACCGCTTCTTTTTCTTTACACCCATATGGCATGTTTCTTTTCCCACATTTACCTTGAAGGAGATCATTCAGTGATGAGCTTCTTCTATGCACTGTTGGAACTTAGAAGCCAAATACCTTTTATTAAGTAATAATATATACCGATATTTCTAGAAACTTACAAGAAAATTCGTAATATCCACATTACACATTCTAACCTGCCATTGCTCATACAACTTTTGTTGGGAGGCGAGTATTGTGAATTTCCTTGTAAGTTGTTAAAAAAAATCAAACTTCCCTTTCTCAATATGCAAAACTAAAAAAACATTTTTTGCTAAATTTCTACAAAATTATTTGTGAACTTTTTAGCATATTTTCATTCAACGTTTTTGAGCCTAACAGATGAAAAGCCACAAACATTCATGCCATAAAACACATAAAATACAAATGTTGGCTCTCTTAATAAACTCAGTCTTGGAAACTAGTGTAACAGTTGAGCTAATATACTACTATATATTAGCTCAGCTGTTACATTCGTCTCAATGTCTTCTGATCTTTGAAGACTGTGCATGTTCAGCAGCATCTGGTTTCCTTCTGACACCCACTACAGAGGAGCTTACTTCATGTCCCCTTGTGCCCTCAGTTGAAGGCAGTGCCCTTGTGCTTCTGCTTCCCTCACCCAACCCTAAAAGTCAATTAGTCAAACACCACTCATCTTATATGATAGTATATCTTTACAAAAGTGGAAATAAACTCAACTTGAAAAAAACTACATATTCAGTTACCTTCATTAATACTCGGTCCACCAATCCAGCCAGGTAAATGCTTCCTAGCTTTTCCTTTCCAAGCCTCTTCAAACCCATCAACCTCATCTACCAACACATGCCGAAAGAAAAAGACATTTTTACCCTTTTTACATTTACATTGCTAATATACAAAATAGATATATATCATATATGTACCTTCATTGATGTTGTGCAAAACCTGCATTGTATCCACCTTACCATCTGATTTCAGATTCCTTGCTAGCGTATGGCCCTACCCATCATAAAAATTTTGTTCATCAAAATACACAAAAGAATTCATTATACACTTTCAACATTCTACTTTGAAATCAAAATTACCTTGTCATGAATACCCCTAGAAAGCCTATGAGCTGCCTCCCCAGTGAATGAATCAGCTTCTTTATATTCTTCAAATCTCAGCTGAAATCCCACATGTCACACCATCAAAAAAAAAAAAAATTTTCAATAACATGTTTGTGTTGGTGTTACTTACTCCATCACTGCCACTCCTTCTGGTTGTAGAGGAAGTATGGTATGCTCCATTAGAACCACCATACGTTACAGTAGAGCTCTGAAAGGTGAAACTATGTGTTTGTGGATGATTGTGTGTGTTATTATTCATAATACTGAAATCATTCCCAAATTGTGTCCCCCTTCTTTCTCCACCTTCAAATTCATCATCTGGATGCTCAATGTAAGGTTGTATCTCAGACCTAAAATGTGTTCCAGGATTCTCTTTCTTATTGTGTTCATCATCAGGTTGCTCACTTTCATCATCAGAGTTCAGTTCTTCAATAATTGGTCCCCTTGAGTTGTTTGGGAGTGAAGGTCGGGTTTCATGAATTCTAGGTGGTTGTTGATTGATGAAAGGGCTTGCTCTTGGACCAAATAAGCTTGATCCAAATGGATTCAAGTCCATGAAAGGACTCCCCGAGAAGATTCCACCAAATGGTTGTGTGAAGAAAGGATCATCAAATGGGTCTCGTCCTCCAAATAAGCTAGGCATACCCCCAAAACCAGAAAAAGGATCACCAAAACCAAAGAAAGGATTACCTCTTCCACTTCCTCTTCCTCTTCCTCTTCCACCTTGCATCTTCTTCAAACTATTCTCTGAACAATTCAAACAAGTAACCAATATGAACACTAAACATGAAATTAAAGTACTAGCATAACCATTCACCTACCATTAGTATTTAGCAACATGAATTGTTTCTTATTCTAATCAGAAGACCTGCCAATTAAGCAAAGCGAACTAGCGGATTTAATGATTAAGAAAGAACAGTTACCGATTTCTGATTAACAAAAACTAAAATCAAGCCTCTGTTTCCTAAAATGGATCGATTTGAAGTCATAAACACGAAGATCACCAACATGATTTTTTACGTAAAAAGCAGTAATAAGCATAAGAATCTAAACGGAAATGAAATCGTGCAACCGTAATAAATAGAAAATCAAAACCCAGTCGAACTAGAACCGACATAAAGACATACAGGAAAGTGGAAACATCGTCGTATATCAAATTTAAACCCTAGAGAGATACCTTTCGCAGAATTGAACGATTCTAATGAGGAACACCAGAATTCGGAGTTTAGTTTTGGGGTTTCAGACTTGATTAATCTGCGTTCAATGGGTGCGTGGTGAGCAAATCGAGCGATAACGAAAAACTATGATGTTACAACTTACAACTTAAAAGAGGTTTCTAGAATTATATTACCGACATTGGCCATAGGGGTTGTATTGTAGAGATCATCAGGACATGTTAATATGATATGATTTCGATACGAAATAAACGTATTTTAATAAGAGATATTTCGATTGGGTTAATACGATATTATATGAAAAATAAACATGTAAAATGAGGGTTGAAAAATTCAATTTAAATCAACTAGAAAGACTTAAAACCAAAATTATTTTGGACTAAGTCATTTTGTAATATGAAAACGAACTAACCGTTTAGGTCAAGACTTCATTTTCAATTTTTTTGTTTTTTTTCAAACTACACATTCCCCTCGACTAACCTTTCTTCTTCATCATCCCGTCCTTCGCCTCCCCAACTTCAACTTTTTCCATTTTTCATCTAAACTTACTATGAATTTACATTATTCCACATTCAAAAAATTACTTTTTCCATTCCGCCTACCTAGATTCTACTCTTTAAACATGTTTAATGTTTCAACCTCACATGACATGACACAATTTAAGGTATACCCTTAACCTGAAATCTAACACGAAAATAAATGGGTTGACACGGCACGTTAAGTAAACGAGTCAGATTAGGATCAACCTATCTCAATTAGTTTATTATTATGACACGACACGACACATTTGTCAGGTCTATCAAATCTCCCTTAAAGAGAGAAGTGAAAGAAAGTGGATGGCATCTAAAAGAAAATTCGGTAACTAGTTTATGTCTTAATATATTTTTTTTATTTTTTAAGGGACTTTTATTCTCCTTTTGCTTCGAGCCCTAAATATGTTTGGACCGATGATGGTTAAGTGTGTGTGGGTGTATGTAGGGGTGTAAGTGAGACAAGCCAACTCATGAGAAATTCGAGACCGACTCGGAAAATACTCGAACTCGACTCGGCCTTAATCGAGCCGAGCTCGAGCACCTTATCGAGCCGAGCTCGAGTACTAAAATACTCAGCTCGTAAGGCTCGCGAGCTTAGTCGAACTTAGTGTAATTTACATATATGTCATTTCTTTATAATTGTTCATTTATAGCATATATGTCATTTCTTTATAATTATTCATTTATGACATATATGGTTGATGTTATATTGATATTAGGTGATTAATAGTGGTTTTTTTTTGTAGTTTGGACATTTGCATGTGGAATGCTTAATATTTCTTACTCAATTTAGTGATTTCGATTTTTTTTTTAAATATTAGTCGAGCCGAGCCGAGCCGAGCTCGAGACTATCGAGTATTTCACGAGCCCGAGCTCGAGCTTAAAATTAAGGTTCGAGTCGAGTTCGAGCCGAGTTTCGAGCTCGAGTATTTTAGTCGGGCCGAGCTTCGAGCTTGGTAGTATTCGGCTCGACTCGGCTCGTTTACACCCCTAGGTGTATGTGAAAAGTGAGTACTTTAGGTATGTGACTTTTGTGTAGGTATGTTAAATGTAATTAGACATTAATTAATCGATTTTTTTTAAACGGTAAACCAATCTACTCTTAACTATCACCATCAATGTCTTAAGGAAGACTTGAACCAATGACCTTTCAAATGTCTTTACCATTAGGCCAAAGACCATTTGATTATTAATTGAATTAATGTTAAATATATGTGACCACATTTACAAGTCAAAATCTCTTTTCAAAATAATAATAATTTCCCAAAAGTTTTGTAGAATACTCAGCTAGAAGATTGTGAATCATGATATCATTCTAGAACACCTCACGTATATGTGCAGATTTGATACCCTATATGTGCTATATGCTAACTATACATGAACTCAGATTGCAGCAATCATTGAGAGTTTTGGTATATGAGTTGACTTAGGTATGAGATTTAGAAGCATATGTATTGCGTATTTGTAAATATATGATTTGATTTAGTTTCCTCGTACAAAGCTTTGTATTTTGTATACGTATAATATGAATACATGAATGAGCTCATAATGAAAAACTTTAGATCTTTCTTTCTATTTATCACTCATTCAAATGAATTAAATGAATTCATGATTGATGATTGATTTTATGCTTTTTTTTTTCCTATTAGGTTGTATTTTGAACGTGACTCGCATTTTTATTTTTATTAAGGTTGGAGGGAGTGGTGTCACATTTTAGGCACTACCACCTTCGATTGTCACATGAGTTTCGCAACACACATCATGTTTAACTTGCCATTAAGGTGGGGTGGCTTACTATGGCCTTTTCTTTAAGATTTTTCTATTTAAAATTAAATTTTCTATTAAATCAAAGTAAAAATTACATAACAAGAAATTAAAGCATAACAATTCAAAAAGTCAAAAACTTAAAACATTAAATTTGCGGCAAAGATCACTGATGGATTTCTATATCATTTATTATAGTTGTTTTTCCCATGAACTCATCATCACTAATTTCTAGTGGTTGTGTGTCCATAATGATTTCATGATCGTCAAACTCACATATATCATGTTTTCTTTGTCTTCTAAAATCATACACGTATAGCAACGTTGACATCCACTTGTGGCACAAAATCAAAAGTTCCCGAAGAAGGAGATGATGATCAAGAAGACATTTTATTTAAAATTAAAGACGAAGTTGGTGTGGTGTAAATTGGTGTTTAGGTTTAGTACTTATTTATAGTGTATAATGTTGAAAAAAAAAAGTTAACTTTTTTAATATTTAGCCGTTGAAGGTTGGTCAAAAAGCAAAATGAAGAGAAAGACTCGGAATATGCATGGCCTTGCCAATGCCATGATGAAACACAAGACGGTGTTTGCCGAGTTGGTACCAAGGCTAAATCATCCAACCTAAGTTGTTTTCTGAATAGGGATGAGCAAAGGAACCGATCCGGCTGAAACCGGTCCGGGAACCGAACTTTGTTGAAAATAGGAACCGAATCGGATCGCCGGTTCTACCAGTTCTTGCCGTGTCTTTAATGTTGAAACCAGTCCTTGAGAAATAGCAACATACGGTTCCGGTTTTTTCCGTACCGGTTCCAAAAATCCACAAGAATATCGTCCCGGTCCCGGTCCCGGCCCGACCGGTTCCATCGGGTTCCGGTTCTGGTACCGGTTCCCCGGTCCATATGCTCATCCCTATTTCTGAATGTTACTCGTATGAAATCTATTGTGGTTAACTTCTCAATGATATATCTATACAACATCGATTAACATTCGAGAATGGGTGGGAATGTTGACCTACTTCAATGGCTTATCCGTAGCCGATTCAAAAACCATATCTTCACGCGTAAATGACTTTTCCCCTTTGATGACATTTACTCCTACAAAAACAGTACAATCAAAATACAACGATGGTAAAATCTTTAAAAATTAAAATGATATTTTAAAACAAAATAATAGCTACAACGACCAAATTTTTTGTTATCTAATTATTTAAGAGTTTATTGCTAGTTAACCATCAAGCTAATTCTGTTTATCATAAAATATTCATCAACTTAGTCAGATAAATAACGAATATCAATTACACTAACTTGGAACAAAATTCTTTTATTTTTTGTTGTTCCAGAAATAACATTACATTAACTTGGAACAAAATTCTTTTATTTTCTATTGTTCCACAAATAGCAGTAAAAATATATTTTTATATTAAAAATGTCAACTACATCGTTTGCTTAAAATGTTATATTTTGAAATTCAATGTTTTAGCTCTATATAAAAACATCACTCATATATTTTTTATATTAAATAAATGCTATTATTCAGTTTCAATCAAAATATCTAACATATATCACCAACGACAGTCGAAACCATTAACATAGTTTTCCCTTCTATCTTTTTGTATTTTTTTTCTCCGATTGACTAATAATATTTATCCTAATGGAAATTAAAACAAATACTTTCTTTAAAAGATCAGAAAAATATTGAAATAAAAAATCGTAAAATTTCGATAATTCATAAACATGTTATTTGTCTTATCAAAGAACCTTCGAAAGAACCGGTCTGACCCGGCATGACCGTTATTCAAAACGAAAAACGTTTATGAAATTTCGGGTAACGTTCGGGTTACCCACCGGTCAGCCATTTCCATTTCCCACCCCTTTAATTCATCTCCATCTTCCTTATTCTTCAAAAACATCAAACAAACTGTTTAATACGATCTCTTTTTTCTTTTGAATTTCGAGGTTTCTCTTCGATCAATCCAAGTAGTTTGCATTTCCCATCAATTATGTCGATGTTTGATTCGGATACCTCGTCCCAAGGCAACGGGGACAAACATTTCAGACAAATTAGTCGTGATCGTGAGTTTTTCTCTGCAATTTCACTCTCTGTTTTTCTGTTGTATATCAATCTGTATCCATGTATGTAATATGTATGTATGCATGTGTGCATTTTTAGTTTAATTGTGGTCGTCATCAGATTATTGAAGTGACCTTGAATGCTCTAGTGTTTGATCTTTGTTTGAATTTGAAAAAATTACGTGTATAGAGCTGTGGTTTTCAGTTTAATTACAATTCTCAGAAACCATATAGCCTCTTTGCTTCTAACGTAAAAAATTAAGGGAGCTGTTTACAAAATTGATGTGCGAATCAATTTAAATCAGTTGCTTTTGTCCTGGTTATTTGCACATATGCTTCTGATATTATGTTAATTCAATCATTACTTTCATTCATTGTGCAGGATTATTGTATGAAATGATTAGATCTGCAAAAAGACCAGACTCAAAATCATCAAACTGGAAGGTATAGGAAACTTATAGTAATGCTGCTATTAATTCTTTTTCTATTTGTTACTATCTTACACTCAATGTTTTTAGGTACTCATCATGGACAGAGTTACTGTTAAAATCATGTCATGTTCATGCAAAATGGCAGATATCACAGATGAAGGAGTTTCATGTAAGACACAAAGGCCAGTATAACAAAATGTGAATTCCTTTTTTCTTAATGGTCAACATGTTTTACTCATATTGGTAATTTTGAGTTAAGAATGACATTGGAATATATCTTGTGAAGTCACTTGACATATTTGTAATTTATAGAGGTGAATAATATGTTTATTTTTTTCATACAGTGGTGGAACAAATTCACAAGAGAAGACAACCACTGCCCTCCATGGATGCAGTATACTACATCCAACCAACAAAAGAAAAGTAAATTATTTGATCTTTTTTATAAAATCAACAACTGATAGTATCTTAATTGTGTTCTTTTATGCTTCTGTTAAAATACATACAGTGTTGACTTCCTATTGGCTGACATGGCTGGAAAAGCGCCTCTATATAAAGAGTATGTGAAAGATCATATATCTTTTTATTCATGTTATTTATCTTGTATCCAAGACTATTAACAACTTGCTTTATTTCTCCTTTTAGAGCTTATGTCTTCTTCAGTTCATCTGTTTCAAAAGAATTGGTTGCTGACATAAAAAAGGAGCCAACTATAAAGTCTCGCTTACGTGGCATGAAAGAGGTTTGGTTAAAACAGTTTCATTATCCATTTTTTCTGTGTAATATAAATAATTTCTTTCATTATATTAACATTTGAGGGACTCTGCAGATGAACTTGGAGTACTTTGCCATTGATAGCCAGGTATATAATCTCATTTACATAAATTGATTTACTTTTTTAATAATAAGATTTATTTAAGTTAAAATTATACCATAACAGTGTTTTATCACTGATCATGGGAGCGCATTGGAAGAACTTTATGGGGATGAAGAATTTTCCCGAAAAGGAGATGAATGTCTAACTGCCATGGCCAATCGTATTGCAACTGTATTTGCTTCAATGTTGGTATGATTTTATAAAAGTTCATTTTTTTTACCTATCTATTTATCAAATATAAAGGTAAAAATAGCAACGTATTTATATTTATTTTCATATAACAACTTAGTTTAACCCATAATAGCAATGTACTTATATTTTGTATTATGTGTAAAGAAAATGTAAGTACATTGTTATTGTGAGTTACATATTGCTATTATTGTCGTTGAAAAATGTGAGCATGTTGTTATTATGGGTAAATAAATGTAAGTATGAGTAAAAAATAAAGTACATTGTCTATATTTGTAACATGAGTACGTTGCTATTTCTTACAATTTACTCATATTTGTTTAGGAGTTCCCATTTGTGCGTTACAGAGCTGCCAAATCACTTGACCCCACAACAATGACAACATTTTGTGATCTAATCCCTACAAAACTTGCTGCTGCTGTTTGGAATAATCTTATGAAATATAAAACTCTCAACCACTTCCCACAAATTGAAACATGCGATTTGCTCATTCTAGATAGATCCATAGATCAGGTTTTTTCATTTTCCTTTTTCCTTTTTCCATTTTCTGCCACCTGTCATCTTTAATTAAATTTTTTAGTATAGAGTTAGGAACTAACTCTGTTTTTTTTACTTGTAGATTGCTCCTGTTATTCATGAATGGACATATGATGCAATGTGCCATGATTTACTTGAAATGGAGGGAAATAAATATGTTCATGTGGTTAGTGTAGTGTACATTATTTATTATTATAAAATCTTGTTAGTGAAATTTTTTTATATTCTTTTTGTATTATACATCAAGTAATTATACTGCTTAGGTTCCAAGCAAAACAGGTGATGGTTATGAAAGGAAAGAGGTCCTTTTAGAGGATCATGATCCAGTATGGCTGGAGCTCCGACATTCCCATATAGCAGATGTATGTCTTTTCTAGATTTTTATTTCTTTTAATTTTGTTTTTTAATAAAATATATAATTATATAGCTTTTGATCAATGGTTCAATGTCAGGCTAGTGAACGCTTGCATGACAAGATGACAAATTTTGTGTCCAGAAATAAAGCTGCTCAGATGCATGGCAGGTGTATCTGTTTTTTTTTAGAATGAATAAACTATCTGAATGACACTAAATGACCATTTTACCCTTATAATTCAACAAACATTCATAATATTCATCAAATTTAACATGAATATTATGAGACTAAATGACCATGTAAATTGTTATTGTATACATAAGGTCTGTTTTTTTTTTTTTTCTTTCTAGAATGAATAAAGTGTCTGAATGAAACCAAATGACCATTCTACCCTTGTAATTCAACAAACATTCATAATTGTTTTTGTAGAGATGGTGGGGAGATGTCTACTCGTGACTTGCAAAAGATGGTTCAAGCATTACCACAATATAATGAACAAATGGACAAATTATCCCTCCATGTTGATGTAAGTCTCTAGGGTATTTTTTTATTTAAAAATCCAGGGTTGTGTTGATATAATGGTCAACCATGTCTGATATTAGTTTGACTGAAACAGCTTGCTGGAAAGATTAATGGTATTATCAGGGAGATGGGACTTAGAGACGTGGGGCAATTAGAGCAAGACCTTGTCTTTGGAGATGCAGGAACAAAAGATATCATCAAGTTTCTCAAAGAACAAGTGAGAAAACAGTAGCAGAATAAATAACTGTTTTATGCATTCACATGTCCATAATCGTAATTTTGTATGCTGTTGCTTCATGCAGGATGCAACAGATGAACAAAAAATCCGATTATTAATGATATATGTAGCAACTCATCCCGAGAAATTTGAGACTGATAAACTTGCAAAGATAATAGAGGTGAGGATTTTTTTTTTTTTTTTTATTCTATTACGACATTGTATTTTTCTTATCAAGGCATTGTAGTTTGTAAAATATACCCAATAACATCATTTTTTAATTATGTTATGTTGTTCAGTTAGCAGATTTGCTTCCTGAAGATATGAAGGCAATTTACAATATGAGATTTCTGGAGTCAGCACCAGATAGTATGAACACCTCAAACAATGGCTTCCCACTAAAATTTGATAACAAGGTGGAATTATACCTGTTGATTACATATAATTATAGCATCCTACTTTCATGTTTGACCAGTCAATCTCTTTCTCTTCAGAAGAGGCGTGGTCTTAGAAAAGATCGTCCTGGTGAAGAAGCGGCTTGGCAGTTATCACGGTTTTATCCTATTATTGAGGTACAGATAAATAGCAATGTATTTTTTAAAAATTATATTAAAAGTAGATTGTTACTATATAATAAATAATAATGTTTTTCAGGAACTGATAGAGAAACTTAGCAAAAATGAGCTACCCGTGAACGAATACCCATGTATGAATGACCCGAGTCCAACTTTTCACGGGGCATCACATTCTGTGTCAGCAAGAGTACTGGATGCTCCAGCTGCTCACTCCATGAGATCAAGGCGAGCAACATGGGCTAGGCCACGTAATTCTGATGATGGCTATTCAAGGTATAACTTTTTTTTTCTATATTTAACTTTTAATTCTTTCAAAATCGTGGTCACTAAAAAGTAAAAAAATAAATGAAAAACAGTGATTCGATTCTGAGACGCTCAGCTAGCGAGTTTATTAAGAGAAGGGGTAAACGGATTTTTGTTTTTATCGTTGGAGGGGCAACTAGGTCAGAGGTATGAATTTTATTTATTTATTTATTTTGTTAAAAAATACTAATAACTTGTATAATTGAAATCATTAAGTTATTTTATTCTTTCAGATGCGGGTTATTCACAAGTTAACAACAAAATTGAGTAGAGAAATAATTCTAGGTTCATCTAGTCTCGATGATCCCACACAATTTATCGAGGTCAGTAACTAACTTCTATCTTTTTCTTTTTGACTATCTTTAAATAATTACATTTTTGTCCTTAAATTTAGCTGATCTTTTTTATTTTGGTCCCAAAAAGTTTCTGATTAATATGCAGTACTTTATCTAATTATTTATTATTTATTTATAATAAAAACACGTATTCTCCCAATGCTCAAAAAGTCATTATGTTTATATTTTTGTCCATTTAAACTATTTTATGTTCTGCTCCCTTATGGGGTCATTGTACTGATTTTAATGGATATTTGAGTGAAACACATTGTTATACCAAAGGTATAATGAAATGTAAATTGCTATAAAATGGTGAAGCATTAATTTAAGCAAAGATCGGAACATAAAAGCATTTTAATTGACAAAAATATAACATAATGGTTCTTTATTTAGATATTTGGAAATATCAAAGGACCAAAATTACAATAATTGTTTTGTGACAAATTGCAAAAATCAGATATACTCGAGGACCAAAAGTGTAATTTACCTTTTTAAATTTAAATTTCTATTCATTATTCAAGAACCTATTTTTTATTTTGATTTTGCAGAAAGTGAAAGCGCTGACTCCAGATCCACCTCCAACCGAGGAGGAGATCGCCATAGATGATCTTGAAATTTGAAGACTGTATAAATAAACAAACAGGTCGTCTTCACTTTTGATTATTTATTCCACTATTTTATATTTCACCATTCTTTAAAAAACTTTTGTATTCATCGGCATAAAAAACCAAACTGAATCTTACAGTAATTTAAGTCTACTCATATTAAACATTAGAATCAACTCACGAGTTGTTTTGCTTTGTTATTTAACAAATTTTCTCCTTTCCGTTTCTTGATATTTCCTACTAATCTCTTCACATATGCAATGTATCCATCAACGTTGAATTTCCTCTTGCAACCCGCATAGTTCATGTATCTTATCTTCCCAAAAACAGGTCGCTCTTGCCAACCCTAAAATAAAAATATATTATAAATTTACAGAAATTCTAGATTTTATGTAAATAATAATAATAATAAAAAAAAAAATGAAACAAAATATAAACCTGGTCGTGTACCCCACAAATTGACCACATACAACCAACATATCCATTTGGATCTCTCCCGTCAATATGATACTGTGAAGATTGAAGACACAATTATAGCATTATACTTGATTAAAAAAATAGATGAAAGTAGGTTGCTGTTTATTGTATTTAACACTATCAAAATACCTTGTCATTCAAATAAATCGATATTTCTAGAGCTTCTTGTGGGCTACTAGTCCATTCAAGTATCTTCTTTGCCCAATACATTCTGTTATCAAGTTATTTGTTAGATTTCATAAAGAAGATTTTTCTTGATTCTCTATTTTTCCATTTTTAAAATAATCATACTTACCTCATAAAACCATGCATCTTCCCATAATGAACCATCTCCAACTGAGAAGCATTCCAAAGCTGAAAAACAAGAAGACTTGCTAAAAAAACAGTTTAAAAATGTTCATAAGATCAATCAAGAAAGTGTAGTAGTAATAGTAGTAGTAGTAGTTTTACTGGATCTGCAGTTTGTGCTTTCTCTAGCTCCTCCCTCCTGCATATCATATTTGAGTCATATCAATCAAAGATTAAAACAACCAAAAAAGTCAATGTAGTTACTTACGTGTACAAATGTTCACGTTTGTCTAAAGCATGCTCCATGAGTGAGTTACGAGCCCAATCCCATGCACCCTGTAAAGAGTCGTATTGAGGCTGATAATAACAGAAATTATCTGATAACTCCCTTCGCACAATCAATTCCTCCAAGAACGCATCAACTGCCTTCAAAATATTAAAAGAAATGATGAAATCTGACTTCAGAGTTCAGATTATGTGAAATGAAACTCCAAATTACCTGTGGATTAACTTTGCGTACTTTACGTGCCTCAAGAGCACAACGCTGAGCTGAAATCTGACCAAAATGGAGGAAAGGAGAAAGACCAGAAAGTCCTTCGGGTTTCAATGGATTGTTTCGATCTGTGGAGTAGTTCTTCAATCTACTTGTTAAGAAACCTTTTTCTTTCCCCATCAATGTCTTTAATGCAGAAGCTTCTCCTGGTTTGCACCAATCAATCTCAGGAACTTCATCTCCTTTCTTTACTACATCTGCAATAAGTGTCTCCCAATCGATGGATCTGTTTCCAGAAGAACTCCAGTTTGTATTCTGAGGCTTTAATGGTGGAAAATCGATCAGATAGTCAGGAAGCAAGTTGTTGATCTTTCGTCTAATGGTTCTAGCGCCATACTCTAACTTATTTGATGCTATCCATAGAGGTACTATGTTGTGTGCATCAACTTCATGAATCGATACAGAATCAGATACTCTCTTGCTAATTTCTTCTTTCCACCCACGAACTTGTCTCAGAGGTGAAAAATCTGTAACCAAAAGCGATGCTCCACATTCTTCTAGAAAGTTTGGAATCGTCTCTACTGCTTCTCCCTACATCGTCTCTGATTCAGTAACGGAAGCGATATCAAAAATGAAATCGTGAATTGTAACTTACCTGGAATAAGAAGAAAGGTATTTGAAGAGTTTGCTCGATTTCGTTATGAAGTTGTTGTAATCCTCGTAGCATAAACCCTAATTGACGAGCTTTTGCGCCTAAGAACTGATCGAACAGATTAAATGCAACCGCAACAGGGACATTGCGTCTGTTGGCCTGATCAACGGCGTGAATCAACGCCCAGTTGTCTTTCAATCGCTGATCTCTAAACATCCAGTATACAACAGGACCGACATTAGATGACGAAGATGACGGTTGAAGATGTTGGTGGATTCCCTCCTTAAGAACCCTAATTCTGCCTAACTGGACGGCGGTGGATTCGATTAGAGAGGAAGCAGCGGCGGCGGTGCCCATCGAAGAAGATGCCGTCAGGACTAGGAAGGGAGAGACGCATGGCGGTCGCCGGGGAGTTGTGTTAAAAAGATGAAAATGGAGGGAAACTGAAAGGTGGTTGTGGTTTGGAAGTTGACACGTCGTCAACTTTGATTGGCATATATGTTGTACACATCATCACCGAAAATATATTAAATTAGATGCGACCCCAGGCGCACACTACCTCTTTCATTAAAGCTTCTACTACCAAACGTATTTTCGCCAAGTCGGTTAAGACCAACTCCACCTGTGAAACACTAAAACCACAAAAAATAATGATTTTTTAACATTAAAATATAATTTTCATTCCAACCACACACAAAAAATTTACACCATAAAGATATTCTAATATAAATTATAATAGTTATAAAATACAAATCTAATAAAATATAATATACTATTGATAAAGTAACAAATGACAATTGAATTAAATCATATTTAAAGTATAAAGCACATTTGGTGTGATGCACAGTGCCCGGTATATATGCTGGCCAAAATTTTTTCACATAAAAATGCCGGCCACTTTACTCCTCCATTGGAGTAAAATTTTGTGTAATAACAGAAAAATGGTGGTCCATGGGAGAATCCCTAAGAATAGATGTCTATTAGCAAAAATTGAGTGTCAAGTTAGGGGTCCGTCTGGATTTTTGGATCAGATTTGGACATGAACCAGTTTTCTAGAATATGTTCGGGCAACGAATGAGAAGGCAAACGGGCAACAAGTTGCGCCGTTAAGCCCTTTTGTATGGTAAAACCAATTCTTTTGAAGACTACATCCATAGATCTAGTGGATATAACATGGCTATGCATGATCCGTTGTAGTCTACTAAGAAGCTCCACCGCATCCGGCGCAAGGAAACCAAACATATCAAATGCAAATGGTATGAACGCGTGTTGATTTTCCATGCACGGTTTCTCATGTTTGGTGAAAATGTTTTTGAATCATGTAAAATCACTACGGGTATAAAATCGGGTATGTCTGGTCCAACGGGTATGTAGAACAAGGGTCTCAAAGGTACAAGAATGTTTTTCATACTTATTTCACCAATCGATCAAGAACTTAAATACACAGATTTACAATACTAGAGCTAAGGAAACTATGAAAAAACAGGAAACTATATATCATATAACTATGGAATATACAACACCATTAAGAGGGAAATTGACAAAATCAATCCCTTAATTAGCTCTCGACAACACTCATCCTCAAGGTGGAGAATGAATATCTATCATTCTCAACTTGTCAAGAGAGCTATGAAAAATCTTCCCACATACAGCCTTTGTCAGGATGTCCACCAGTTGATCTTTTGAAGGCACCAATGGAAGTTCGATAGTACCTTTTTCTAGATGGTCCTTAATGAAATGACAATCAACCTCTACATGCTTCGTTCTATCGTGTTGAACCGGGTTATTTGCTATTTTCACAGCAACTTGATTATCACAGCTTAACTTCATTGGATTAGTGAGAGTGATCCCCAAGTCTCGCAAAATTCGCTTAATCCACAACAATTTCACAGACACCATGAACCATTCCTCGAAGTTCAGATTCTACACTTGATCTAGAAACGACCTTCTGCTTTTTAATTCTCCATGTGACTAGATTACCCCCAAAAAATGTGAAATATCCCAATGTTGACTTTCCATATGTTTCGTCTCTATCCCAGTCTGCATATGTATATCCGCTCACCCCTCTACTTTGATTCTTTGCGAAGTACAATCCTTTTCCGGGAGAGGACTTCAGGTATCTCAGGATTCGGTACACTGCTTCCATATGGTCTTCACTCGGAGCATGCATAACCGACTCATCACGCTAACAACATATGATATGTCGAGTCTCGAGTGAGAAAAGTAAATCAACTTCCCAACCAGGCGTTGATATCTTTCTTTATTTGCTGGTACTTGATCCAAATGAATCATTAACCCATGATTGACTTCAATCGGCGTATCGGCTGGCGGACAGTCAAGCATACATGTTTCTGCCAGTAGGTCCAACGCGTACTTTCGCGTACTTTCGTTGACACATGGATATGCCTTGTTTTGATCTTGCAACTTCTATATCCAAGAAGTATTTCAATTCCCCAAGATCCTTTAGTTCGAATTCGGTTGCTAGAACTTTATGAAGATTCGCTATTTCTTTTTAATCATTGCATGTGATGACCATATCGTCTACGTATACAATCAATGTTGTTATGTTCTTCTTTTGTCTCTTAACAAAGAAGGTGTGATCGACATCGCTTTGTACATATCCAATATTCTTCATGAAATTCGAAAACCTTCCAAACCATGCTCGAGGAGATTGTTTCAACCCATATAATGCTCTTTTTAGTTTACACACTTTGTCTTTGACATTCAACCCGGGAGGAGGTTCCATGTATACCTCTTCTTCAAGATGGTCGTTTAGGAAGGCATTTTTCACATCGAAACTATCTTAAAGGCCAGTCTTGATTCGCTGCTATAGACAGAAGGTGTGACAACCCGAAATTTCTATTATGTACAACCATTCACTTCAATAGAAGTCAGAACAGTTTCTACTAACTTTTGAGCTGTGTAGAGTCAGTTTGAGTGTTCTAAAGCCTAGTACTTCAGGAGATAACAGGAGAGAGGATGCCCTAGGGTTTATTGTGCAACAATAAAGTTCCAAAACTCCAAGAGTTTGGAGTTTACGGCCTAAACAAGGTGTTTACGGCCGTAAACCCCAAGGGGTATAAATATGGCACTTAGCCATTTTATTCACTTTTTCACATTTCAAGATCTAGAACTCAAATCCTCTCAAGTATCATCCGACTTTTCCTTCTTGATCTTCAACTTTGTAAGTGTTTCTTGCTCTAATAAGTTGATATCTTACTTAATCTAGTGATCTTACATGATTCCATCAGTGGAATCATTCCATATGTGTAGATCTTCAAGTTTCACCAAGAACACACACTAGTGTTCTTGGACTTTTAACACCCTTTCAAGCTTCTACATAGTAAGTACTCTTACCTTGGCTTGTTATAAGGCTTGCTACACTTCTTAATCATCTAGAAAACACAAGGAAACACAAGATCAAAGGTGTTTACGGTCCAAGATGTTCTTGGACCATAAACCCTAATAAAAGGGGCCAAAGTGTGCCCTAATCCCTTACCAAGCCTTGTTTACTAGTCTAGATCCCATCATTGATGTGCTTAGGACTTAAAACATCATAAAGACCATAAACCATTTGGGTTTACGGCCGTAAACCCATGGAGAAATGGTCCATGGGCCGTAAACTCCACAAAGGAGTGAAATGGTGCCCTAATCACTTCCAAAGGCTTAGACTTCAAGTAGGAATGCTTCTTATGACCTTTAAAGCTTCAAAACACAAAATGGTAAAAGTACCATGAGTTTACGGCCGTAAACTCATGGGTTTACGACCTTAAACTCCAATGGAGTTGGTCCCAAAACCGTAAACTCATAAAGAGCTTACCCTTGGACCCTAAACTCAATAGTCAAGTCCTACAACCCTTAGATGCAATCCTTAGTACTTATAGCACTTAAATGAAGTGTTTTACATGTCTTAGGATGTCTTAACTTGGTTAATTAGTTGTTTAATGACTAATTGGATACATATATGTGTTATTATATGTTAACTAGGATCCTTGTGTGTGTTCAAGTCTTCACTTGACACTTAGCATCCTATAACAATCCGTTCATCCAAACCACTCACTACAGGTGAGTTCATACCCCTTAATTAACCTTTTAAATGTTTTTAAATGCTTTTATGGGGGGGGGGGGAATACAAGTTGAACTATTATAGTTATTATATAAATCACATGTGATTAATAACTACCAAACAAGTGGATTTCTTACTTTTCAAACTGTGTTATCAAACTGTTTTACTTCAAACTGTTTTACAAACTCTTTTACATGTCAAATACTTTTATTGAACTCTTTTAAAACTTATATTATGTTAAATGTGTATCTATATAGATATAGTTATATAAGTAGGGTTGAAAGGACTTAGGACTGATAGCTCACCTTACTTCATGTTCCTTGTTTGGTTGTGGACTTAGGGTATTCAGGTTATTTGTCCGAAGGTCGTTTGAATCCTAGTTATATATTATGTATATGTATATAGATATAAAAGTTCCTTCTTTCATTCAGTTCAATACCTTTGGGTAGCAAAGGTATACACACATGTTCATACATTCAAACAACATTACTAGTAAGCTATAATAGGTATAGTTTAGAGAGATACCAATACTATTACTAGAACATTGAAACATACAAAGAGTCAGTTCATACATGAGTCAATACCATACAGAGAGAACATAACATACATATAGAGAATACTATGATGAGAAACAAACAATACCATACAGAGAGAACATACATACATGCTAGACAGGGAGAGAACACACAATACAGCTAGCACATACATATACTAGAACATTACTACAGTTATGTGAGCCACGTAACGGGGCATGGCATTACCTGTCATGGCCGTTTTGTATCCAGAATCTCCTTAAGTGGGGAGCGTATGAGTTTGTGTATAGATCTATACTGGATTGACTATCCTACACCTTGCTGCTCGCTACAGTGGGACTTGCAAGTCTACGGGTGCCAAACGTCATTTCTTCCGACGTCTTACATCGTCGTGTTTATAGTCGGTAGCAGGATACAGGCCGATCACATGGTACTTTAAATAACAATTGGTTTAAGGTAGTTAGTACAACAGTAGTTACTTAATACAACACTACAGTACTATTTCATTTTCCCATTACATTTACTTTGTGATCTTCACACAATAAACAACAATGTAAAAACTATATTTTTGGTTAATGATAGTCAGATTTGGGAAAATACAAACTCTTACAAGAGACACACACACACAGACACTAGATTCCTTGGTAGAAGGCTACTTTTAGTAGGAAACATAGGGTTTTCTAGGGAAATTCAAACACTTACAAACATTTTCAAACTTATACATTACATACTTACAACCACTTTCATACAAACTCAGACACTAATATACTTATGAACTCACCAGCTTTAAAGCTGATAAACTCTTTCAAAATAACTTGTATTCTCAGGTCACCAGTAGACAGGTACCG